GTTTATTATTTTACTATAATCTTTGTTAATGAACACTTAGTTACACAAATAAACTCATAAGATGTCTAATGCGCAAATTATATGGAAGAACCGCTAAGAAATTATATTAGTGTTATGATCCTTCACTCTGAATTGATTCCATATTGATAGCTACTTTATTATATGGAGCTAAATTCAGAGGTTCCAGCGGATTCGAAGAACTGAAAATTAGCAACAAGCTTTTCAAATGTAATTATTGCCATGATTTTTCCGTACATAAAGTTCTTTAAAGCTTATTAAAACACACCTATTTGCGTTACAACAGATATTTTGTAATATTGCTGACGGTATCTTTTAAAGTCGTTACCATAAATTCGGTTTCTGCAAATTAATCATTACAAGCAATTAAATTCATAAGAAAATTCACTCATTATTTTTTTTTTGAAATTTATATTACTCTATATAGGAGATAATTGCAATTTTATTTTATTATTTTGCGACTATAAGGTACTGTAGGTAATTAAGATACAACGTTACAAAAAAGTAGAAACTTATTAATGAGATACGAGAGGTCTTTTGCGCACATGTTAATGTCCTGAGACAGTCACTGTGCTTCAATGTGCAGCAAGACAGACTCATGATGTCTTCCCGCATTCTTCACATACTATATAGAGTTTGCTTTTAAGATGGCATATAGAGTCTGCTTTTAAGAGGTGATTTTATTTAGTTTATTATTTTTACTATAATCTTTGTTAATGAACACTTACTAGTTACACAAATAAACTCATAAAGATGTCTAATGCGCAAAATTATATGGAAGAACCGCTAAGAAATTATATTAGTGTTATGATCCTTCACTCTGAATTGATTCCATATTGATAAGCTACCTTTATTTATATGGAGCTAAATTTCAAGAAGGTTCCAGCGGATTCGAAGAACTGAAAATTAGCAACAAGCTTTTCAAATGTGCAAATCTCCAAGGAACGGTGAAACACCATTTGACTAGAAGAGACATGGAATTCAACTTGCAAACTTCCAGCTTCAGTAGATAATTTCTAAATTTCTGTTTTTGATTCTACTTTACTTCTTATTTTTAACTTCATTCATTTATTTATTTATTTCCCTTGTATAGCTGAGAAGCTCCTGAGAAGTGTATGCAGCCCTTAGGGGTCCGCAAACCCCAGCTTGGAAACCACTGGTACAAAGCAGCACTTAAATTAAATTTAATACTAATAAACATATTTCTAATTTACTACTAATAAACAAACTTATTTTGCTGCGGAATTACCGCATGACTGTAAATCAGTACAAATATAATCTACAATAGTGAAAGCCATTTTTTTCTTGCAGTTTCAAAAAAAAAAAAAAAAAAAAAGGTTACGAGTAATACTTTAATCATAATTTTATTAATGCATTTCATTAAATAATTCGTAAATGGTATGTTTTGGTGTAAAATCTTCAGTAAGTTTAACTGAACTTTATCTCTGCCCTGTTTTTTAAATGCGGCAATTTAAAATTTTTTTCTTAAAAAAGTTATACATAACCCGTTTCATTTGAAAAAAAATGCAGGAAAATTTAAATATTTTTGGAAATTCTAGACAATTTATATTATATATGCACTATATAACTTTTTAAGCAACATTATATTTTTAAGTAACATTATTTTGCTATTATAATTTATTTATTATTATAATTTTGAAGTAACACGTTACACAGTAGTGTCATATAGCCTGTATTAGACATGCTATGACCCGTTTTAAAGCTATAACATATAGACATAATTTAAAACGCTCGGATAGAACATTATATGGACGTTCTTTGTAAACCCTTTTTTTACAATTTACGTTGAGAGTGCCATTATCATAGGTATTGGGCATGTTTATTGTACATTTTAGAACTGTGACGTGTAGATGTAATGTTTAAAAAAATAAGAATACTTCTTTTACGAAGCGAGTATTTTTGAGGTGAAATTCCTTTAATTCTTTCAGTTCCATATTTCACACAATACAAACAACATTTTACAGAAGTAGGATGTTGTACAAAACCATCATTATAGGCTATATATATATTTTTTATTAGATGTATAAAGAAATTCTCTAATATTACCAGGAATACATTTCTCTTTTTACCTAGTTTATATTTACCAAAAGGATCAAAATATTCTGTAAATTCATATTTAGAATCATAATAACACACTCAGTGAGTTTCAGGGCCTATAATTACATCTAAATTCATGACTCCTCTTTCAAATTTGTTGACCTTAGGTAATAAACCTGACGAAAAATGTCCCTACAATTTTTTTTAATTTCTTTGATTATTTGTCCTGTAATTCCCATGGTTAGAGTATTCCCTTGCAACGTATTAGTTTCCTCGAAATTTTTTCGAGGACATTCAGATCCTTTTTTTTTTTTTTTTTTTTTTTTTTTTTTTTGTGTGTGTGTGTGTGTGTGTGCATCTGAAGCAGCTAAACCAGATAAAGCGCCTACTACTTTTTACTTTTAACAGCAGGTTCAAATTCACCTAACTGAGATACAATTTCCTTTTTTATCGTTTCTGCATTTTTATTACGTCATTCAAAGTTTCCGAATTTTCATTTAAAAGTTCACTTTGTAATTTAAAATCCTTTATCCTTAATAAGTTCTTTTTTTTATCAAAACCTTCCTTATTAAGAGGATCAAACAAATATATCATCTCCTTTAAGCTTAGTTTGAGTGGATATTGTAGATTTTTCACGAAATAATTTTTCAAATTCATAAGGTTGATATTGTAGTTCAGGAATTCTCGATGATTCTAATGAAAGAAATAAAATATTTCCAATAGCATCTTGAATAATTTTTACAAATTCTTTATTTGATTTTTTATATTTTTCTATTTCTTTAGTTTTGGTACTTAGTGTTTAGTAATTTCTCTTTAGTTATTTGCATTTTATTGTTTATGGAATTCTGCTAAAGTTTCTTGAATGCCTGATTTTTTTTTCCTTTTAATCGATCTTCATTATTTTTTCTTACTGCATTAACTTCTGGAGATTTACTTAATTTAGTTAATAGTAAAATTTTATTTTGAAGCAACCTTTCCTATTAGTCTTGCTTTCAACACACGCTTTCTCGCCAGAATGCAAATGAGTTAGCTCTCGTGTATTCAGATGAGGTAGAAAGAAGCTAGTACTTAAGGGAAGATTTTGGAAGCTGAATTTAGAGCGTGTTCTGCCTGTCTGAAGGCCAACTTGCTATCTTTGATCTACTAGCGATTAGGGTTTTGTGCCGTTGAACACTTGTTGCCATTAGGTTTGTTTACACGGACCTTTACGAGTCACAGCCAACCTGCGTGTACTCTTTGAGGTAAGCGAAAAGTGTTGGCTTTTTAAGCACAAGTCAGTGCCATCTGTGAACTTTTATCTGAGTTAATAAAGGGCGTTTTAACCATTCGCTGGACTTTGTCTTAGGGATAATTCCTTACACAGTATTCTAATGTCTAACTAAATAACTATAGGGTTGAGGTCCGGTGACCTGGTTGGCCAATCCATCCGGCGAATATCCTCACTCTCGAGAAATTCGTTGACCAGAAGAGCTCTCTGTGGTCTCTCGTTATCGTCCTGTAAGATGAACTGGGGGCCCACTGCAGCCCGGAAAAGGCGAACATAGGGCTCCAAGACCTCATTCCTATACCTCACACAAGTTATAGAGCCTCTGTCAAAGACGTGGAGAGGTGTGCAGTCATCCAACATGATGCCTGTCCAGACCATTACACCGCCACCGCCTTAATTGTTGATTTCGGTTAGGAGGATTATAACATTGGAGGTTAGATAGCGGGTCCCTATCTCTCTCCATATGAAAGTACGGCGAGAATCAGTGTTCAGGCTAAAACGGGACTCGTCGGTGACAGGTACAGAACGGTCGCCCATTGCTCCGTACTCCAATCACTATGCCGCCTGCACCATGCTAATCAGACTCTACTGTCCGTAGACGTGAGCGGGACGCAAACAGCCGGTCTTCTGGCAAACAACCCTCTCTCATTCAGTCTTTTGGAAACAGTCACTCTTGGTTACAACATTACACGGGTTCCTGTGGCTGCATGCAAGGTCCCGAGAGAGCTGAGAAGCTGTAGCCCCTCTGTTACGCCTCGCTAAAATGGACGAATAGCGATCTTCTCTGGCCGTCGTGGCTCTTGGATTTCCAGACCCTTGGCCCCAGGGTTTCTCTCGATGGATCCAGTATCCTGAAACTGTTTCCATAGGTAACACACGAAGTATCTGAACTTGCGATTGGCCTGCCTCTAGCCTCCCCAAAATTCGCCACCTCATTCCATCATCTAAATGTAGGTGGTTACTCATTTTTACTGTTCCGATATGAATTTAACCGATTACTGCAAGACAACACCAAGAAATTCGCCGAGTCGTGCCTAGCGAATGCAATTCGCCTAACCCCCCCCCAAACGCTTATAAAGCCTGTTTTTCTGCTGGCTCCGCCTACAAACACTTGTACGTTTACATATTGCCGTACAACATTTGCATTTTTATCTAGAAGCAGTGGTTTTCCCTTTACTTCAGTTCTTTTCATGCAATTCGATAAATATGCAAATTTTCTTAGTTTATTTCTTCAGCGTATATCCTTTATTGTCAATTCAAAGCTTTGGGGTTTTGTTTGAGATTTGGTTTTAGGTAGAACAAACATTACAATAATACTAATTAACAACTGTTTACATTTTGAAGATTGCGTATATGTGCAAAACATATTGATGAATCTAAAGACAAATTTAGCCTCTTTGAAGACATCAAAAAAGAAGATATTCTCGAAATTATTAAACCTATGAAAATAAATAAAAAGGAAAAGAAAGAAGTCTTAGATTGGTATGAATAATTTAAAAGCAGCAGTATTATTTACTTCAGATTTAAGTGAATTTATTACTGTTGATGACCTCAATTCATCACTTAAAAATCTTGATATATTTTATGATTGTGTAACCTAAGAAAATCAAAACATTATGGTGAATATTCAAATTAAAGTTAGTAAAAATTCTATCTATTATTTATATAACGCAAGTTTATTATAACGTCTCTAGAAATATAAGACTAAATGTAAAGTTTTTCAAATGAATACGATTTTTTAAAGTTAGATTTCTGTAATCCAAGAATGAAATATATAAGGAATTTTGAGCCTATATATATATACAGGGTGTTCGGGATAAATTAGACAGTTTTGTAAGGAAAAAGAAAATCCGCTTGTATGAGTAGTAGCGAAGGTCTTCGTTGAGTGCAAGCTTCATAGTAGAGGCTGCAACATTCATTTCACGTTACAAAGCCCGAATTCCAATGCCAGGGTTCTTCAACACCTGTTCCTGCAGATTTGCTTGGAATTCTGCTGTACGAACGCGATCAGATCGTCTGCTAGGGATCTTTCTTCTTGCTACATCTTCGTAGTCACCATTGCAAGTCTCTAGTTCATGCCTGATTGTTTTTACTTTGTTCAGGGAGCATTGGGCAGCAGTCATAATATCCTTATTTTGATGGCCGGCACGAATCATCATGATGCAAGTTACTCTCTTCCATGATTCAAGTGGGTTCCAGTCATTCATCCTTTCTGACATCTTGTATATAAATGAAAAAGGGTCCAAACTTTTAAATAACGAGTAGTGTGTGTCAATACCTCCAACCTGCGGAAAAATATAATCAATTATAAATATGTCAAATTTATCCCGAACACCCTATATATATATATATACAATCCAATGGAAGAAAACCTCAGTAACTGATAATATGCTTATAGAAAGAGTTAAAAGTTTTATAGTGGTGTTAATTTATCTCTTTCGATAACTAATCAAGTGTAGTCGAACCAAAATTTTTACTAATGAGTACGATGGAAGAAGGCTTCATAACCTGATTCTCTTACATGTCCTTTAGAAGTTTTCTTACCGCTTCCTGTTTAATAATCGACAGACGTTTTGGATGTTGCTTGATTAGTAGATGATTCCCGCTATCAATTCTATGTTGTACCAAACGTTTTTGACCTATGTCAGAAGATGTGCGGCAGAAAACATCTTGAAATTCTTGAAAGGCATGTTCTGCAGTATTCTTTTTCTCGCTTACTTGTGCACTCTGCGAAGTCTCCGATATGAGGATCTAGGAAGAGACAGCGACTAGAGGACAGTTGGTTCCTTTAAAGCATTTCACTGGAGTAAATGATGAAACAACTTCATTTTTCCTAATGACTTATCACTTACTCTCCCCTTTTCACTTATTTTGACAAATTTCACCGGAATAATGGTCCTCGGTAGGTCGACGAGTGGAGCTACTAGTACTCATTACGGACTGTTGCAGTTCTTAGGATATTTTATTCTTCCATACCGGAAATTTCTGTTTTCAGCTAAGGATCCAGGTAGTAAAAACTCTGTTTTTGGTAATACGATGATATCGTCCTGCTCTATTATTTGGTGGATGGATTTAACTCCTTTAATTATTCACAGGGTTTTGCTCTCAGAGGCTGAATGAAGTTCCTTATTTTTAAAGGTCAAGGAAAAATTGTATTTCCTTAGAAAATGTCGTCCAGGTACAAGGGTCCGTAATATCTGCCACATATGCCGTCTGATGGCAGGCGGTGCTTTCAAACGTGACGTTTATCTTTCCATCTATGTCGATTTAATCACCCAGCACAATCTGGAATATAACTCAGGGAAGCCTACAGATGAGTTTACCGTCCAAATGTTGAGCTGAATCTTTCTGGATAGTGGTAACATTGGCTCTTGTGTCGATAGCCATATTGCAAGAAAGTGAATTTATATGTCACATGATAAAAGTTCCATTACTGCCACCAGTCACTGCAGAAATCTGTAGTGTTTTAAAATTGAGCTTTTCAGTAACTGGCACTGTCCGCTCTGCGAGAGGGTGACAAGTTTGTTCCTTGTCTTCTTGCTGGAGTGGGATCTTATCTACCATGGCTTTGGGTGTTCTGCAGTTTCTTTGTACGTGGCCTTAATCACCGCAGCTCTAGCAATTTAGGATCGGTTTCTTGCCACTCATATTCCACTTAAAAGCTTGGAATAGCCTGTTTAAATCTTTTGGTCGAGCAGTCACTTGATCCATGGTTCCTGAATTTGACCGGCTTAGACTAGGTGGCAGTCTAAAAGTTGCTCTCTGGGCTCCTTCAAATTTCATGTCGAACGCTTGTTAGATCCTTGATGTCTACCATTCTCAGGGTTTTCAGTATCTCAGGATCCCGAATGCCATCGGTGAAGTACTGGAGGGACATAATTTTCCTTATTTCTCTTTCGCAGTCAAAAACGGCGAGATGACACAGCCTTACAGCATCAGTGGCGGGCTCCTGAATTGTTTCCATGGGCTTCTCTTGCCTAAGATTTTAAAGACTTCTCGCCAAAACGCAGCTCCAACGCGCCTGCATGAGATCTGTACCAGAATTGTCTCCATCGCTGGCTATAAACATCTCCAAGCTATGAACAGCTCCAACAACAGAAATTCTCTAATTGATTAATTGTTCGCAGCAGACACTCTTTATTCGACTTGCTGTTCGTCAGCAGAATCTCTTTCTTAAGTTTCTCTAACTTAATTTTCAACCACGTCTATTCTGTCTTCTGTAGCCTTGAACTTGTTTTCTATAATGGCATGAATTTCTCTTTGCATTTCTTCTTTACCTGCTTCAATCTTTTCTTCGCTGGACTCAATCTTTTATTCAACTTATTTGACCGTCCCTTCCAGCTTTTCTTCGCCCGATTTAATATCTTCTTTGACGGACTTGAGGGCTTTTTTCATCTCTTCCCGAAATTTTGCAAAGGCTCTCACCAGCCCTCTTAGTTGCGCGGCCAGACGCTGGTGGCAAGAACCATTGTCCCATTCCTGACACCAATGACTGCGTACGGGGTCGTAATGGATTGAATGAACAAAGAAACGATGATAGTTTAATAAAAATTATTTTACCAAAGGAAACATTTTACTGTTCTGGAATTTTTCACAAATGTACTTGTACAGTTCTTAATAGGACAGAACACAATGAGTAGTTACCACTTCAAATTACTAATAACATTAAACATAACGCAAAGTAAAACATGCAAAGCGCACGCAAGGAGCGAAACTCACACGGAGATGTGTCAATATTCCAAAATCAGTTCTGAACTAAAAAACGCTGAGAACTAATGCTCTCTCGAGTCTTATAAAATTTTCTGCAGGCTGCCGAGAAATCTCTAATACCTTCCATTTCTCGAAATTACTGAAAGGAGTAGACGGTTAAAATTACACATGAAGCTAGGTACGGTTACAGTTATATATAGGGATTAATTATGCTTATTCAATTACTTAACTACAGTTATGCAGGGACCTGACCAAAATGTCGCCAAATGGTCGCGAAATTTGTCAACATATGGAAATTTCTTGCCGAACTTTGCGATATAATTTAATCTTCACCACCACCGTCACCTTGGTGATATCTCGTCAGTTTCAAGAGGTAGTTTCTTACCACAATATTAAATATATTTGCCCCTGTTATCTCTTTTTTTTTTTTTTTTTTTTTTTTTTTTTTTTTTTTTTTTTTTTTTTTTTTTTTTTTCAGGAAAGCTTCGCTTTCTAAGGTTCTTCATGTTACATTATGCAAAATTCGTAGCAGTATAAAATTATTATTCTCATTTAAAAATGAGAATAATTGAAATTTTTTTTTAATATTTAAATCCTTTTGCGAAAATGCCGTCTCTCTCCCGCATAACCTCCCTCTACTAAAATATTTTATGCTTGCTTCCTGTGTTATACGCAGTTGCTAGTGATCCGTATAAATAAGTTCTAAACATTCTTTGAAGGCATTCCTTTCATACCTACCCCGTCAGGTGGCTGTGTGTTAATGACGGATGAATACCGGTAGTTTGACCCGGTTTCGAATACAAGTAAGTAGGGGAATTGCATGAATGGTTTTCATTGTTTTCTCTATCTCCAATGTGAATAAGAGATAGTTTCATTTTGATAATCTTTCACGAACAAATCTCACCTCTTCTGCACATAGCCATCGTGTTTTTGCTACATCCACACATCTAACCTAGCCTTTTATGCCGGGTATCAATAGCAACAGCGCTGTTTTCTCGAAGATATCTTTTCTTGTCGATATTACACACCCTGTTCCTTAACATCTTTACATTGATTACAGTTCTTCATTTTCCCACCACACTAGAAACTATCTTCCAAATTTTGACGAAATGTTTTATGATAATGCCAAATTCTTTGAATGAGAACCTTTTAGTAGGATCAAAAATTGAATAACATTTTAATATATCCTAGAAGTATTACATCCAATGCCATTTTTCAATTAATAAATCTTCAATTAATGCTGTGGATGCAGATATATGCTTTTAGAAAAGTGTTCTGATATATTATTAATTGATAATGTCATTTGTATTACAGATGGCCCTGCTAAAGTGGAGCTCACGATTGTTATTATGAATGTTCGAAATGTAGACGTCTCAGAAATGGTAAGTTGAAAGCAATCAGTTTTCAGAATTGTAATAAGATCCTGCTGTTTTATATATCGAAATTTATCGAACAAGGTTTTATTAAATGAATGGAAATTTGTTGACTAATGTGACGAAAACCTTAAAATAGTGAAATTTTATATTTCATTGTATCATATCAGAAATTATTGCAAACACTAGTACGTAGTAAAGGATTTTCTTGTAGAAGAAAATGTCTGAAGTCGTCAGTATAACGTGACAGTCAAAAGATCCGCACCGAGAGACCGACTGCATTTCTGATGCAACAGTAATATAAATGCCTCAAATCTTAGCAAGATAGGAGCCTCATCGGTGTCTGAGCGGCCAAGGACTGATGAGTACTAGTAATTCGACCCCATTTCGAAACAAGGCCAACGTGTTAATTGTGTGGTTAGTTTTTATGGTTTTCACAACGTTTAAGGTGAATACAAGTCAATTTCCTTGTGAAAGTCCTCGACGGAGGTATCTCTCTCCTTAGTTAGATGGCACTCATGAGCTTTTGCATATTCAAATAACCTAGCCTAATCATAGCAAAATGTGACAGTATTTAGAAAATATTCCCTACGCACTCGTATTTCCTTATAGACAAACTCATAGCTTTCCCCTATACTGTATAATTGATAGCAGACTCGTGTACGTATGGCTTTAAGCGCACAGTATCGGTTCTTTATGGAGTGGGATTTTTGTGCCCTTCGCATTATACAAATTTTCCAAATACACCATGGTTTCCGCAGGTGAAATTCAAATTAGCTGAAATCTGGGAATCTCAAAAGCTACATAACGAAGCTACAATGTTCAATTCTATGAAAATATATTACTTTCCTTTAGGCTTGCAAATCTCGGCTCATCTTTTACTTCCCACTAAACGCTAATGAAATACAGATGGAGAACAAAATAATACGAACACCTGTGAAATAATGGAAAATTTTTATTAATACGTGGTTGGACCACCCTTTGACTGAAGTACAGATTGAATGCGACGTGGGATAGATGCATAAAGGTCATAGACAATATTTAAAGGAATATTAAGTCATTCCTCCTGCAGAGCAGTCTCTAATCCCGAAAGTCAGGATAGAGGTGGAAATCGGGAACGAAGCTTGGACTCCAAATATGACCATAAATGTTCAATAATATTCAAGTCCGGAGACTGAGGAGCCAAGCGAGATGTTCAATTGCATCGTCATGCTCTTCGAACCATTCTTGAATACACCTAGAAGTGTGGATAGGGGCATTGTCGTCTTGAAAAAGCGGTCGCTCCCCAGGGAATACAGTCTGGACAAAAGGATGGACATGATCCCCTAGAATGCTTAGACAGTGATTGGATGTGATCCTTCCATGCAGAATAACAAGTGGCCCAAGACCGCACCAAGATATCGCACCCCATACCATAATGGCGCCATCCCATGCTTCACAGTCGGAAAGAGGCAGTCGGCATGAAACGCTTCTTTGGGCATTCTTCAGACATAAACGCGTCCGGTCGTCTGAAATAGGGTGAATAACGATTCATCTGACCGTATTACCTGTTGCCATTGCTGTGGGGGCGAGCCTTTGTGATCTCTGCACCATTGGCGGCACTTGAAAGCATTAGTTGTTGTCACCAAGAGTTTACGAATTGCTACTCTGCCATAAATGCTCTCAGCATGAAGTTCCCTTTGGACAGTTATTGTTGAAACGGGGTCCTGGAGATGACTGTTCATTTCGGATGTTATCCCGGATAACGATTGCTTGTGCTTTCGGGATACTATGCGCTTCAAGACACATCTATCCCTATCAACCAGCGTTGACTTTCGGCCACTGTTGTGCTTTGAAAACGTCGTCTTACCCTCTTTCGTGTACGCCGTCATAACGCTGATACCCTACTCCTTGTACACCCCACAAGGTTTGCTGTTTCCGTAACCGATGCTCCACTTAAACGGGCTCCAATTATCATTCCTCTTTAGAACTCTGACAGGTCTGACATTTCAACCTCTCACAGACAGTTCGATTGAAGCATGCAACGCAGGTGACTGCTGTTGAGAGACTGATACCTCCCTATTCATGCTCACTAGGTGGCAAACTTCTGTTGCAGGTGGCGCCGCTGTACTGCAGTTGTGAAATACATCATACATTTTCTCAACTGTTAGCATTATTTTGTCCTCCATCTGTATATTGTAACGTAGCCAACAATCAAGTCCTGGATTTGTATTTCTAGGCTAAATAAATTTAACTATGTAAAACTATGTACAGTAGTTACGTTTAAGAAGCTTTAAAATACATTTTTCTACAGCGCAGAGAAAGAAGCCTCGCGTCCGTCTTCTTCCTGTTCAAATTTCAATCGCTTCTCAATTGTTCGAAACACTTGGCGGGGCTGTCCACCCCCGCAAAGACGAGAAAAGAGGAAATCTCCGGCAGGACTGATCTCTCTGATAATTCCTGAGGTCAGCACAAAGGTGTCACCAGTGCGAAAATTTATGAGCGACCACTGGAAAATTCCCAGCGAGGTGAAACTAAGGCATGGGAGTTCTCTTCATTTCTCCGAGTTCCTTGAGAAAAAGTGACGCCACGTTGCCTTCGCAGGTGCGTCAAGAAGGGAAGAATGACGTTAATTACCACGGAGTGGGAATAAAGAGAGACGCCCTTCTCCCATCACGGCTGACGCGGTGCTTTGAGCTTTGTGGTACTTTGTGGAGCTAAGAGCGGTGTGGTACTTTTGTGTACAACCAGAGCATATTGCCTTGATTTGACAATACTTTCACACACGACAATTCAGAGAAGAGACAAAAAGCAGAGACACTTCCGCACAAAAGAAACATTTATAGCTGGATGGAAAATAGCAATTTGTATATTTTAGTAGCATTTCCTCAAATTCACAACTTGGTTAGCTTTCGATAACTTGCAACAGCGAGTATGAATTATAAATCTGTTTTATAAAATATGAAGCTATTGTACTACAAAAATATAGATTTTAGGAAAATGTTTATGTTATGTGCAAAGAATGATAAAAAACCTTAAGGTACCTTTAGAACGTAGAGATCCTATTTACCCACTATGTGAATCTGGAGAAGAAATGCACAGGGACCTCCTGTTTCGATGTGGGACTTTTCGTAGTCATACAGAAGTGTTGAGATACTGGGAGGCAAGAGCGCTTCTTAGGCAATGACTTCAGTCTTTTTGTTTTTAGTTCTATTGTCTGTAACTTCTGTTTATAATATTTTAGTTCTTTGTACTTTATAACTTTTGCCTAGCCATTTAAAATAATAAAAAAAAACTTTAAAATGTCAAAATATTGCACACACAATCTAATTACATAACGGAATCTAATGCTCAATTATTTAATTATATCTAACTGATATAAATGAGAAAATTTCTATACTTCTTTCGATGCTTTTGATTCCACATTTGTTAATTTTCTTTTGTGTTCCAAATATCGAAATGTCTTAGATAAAATACATTTTTATCGGCCACATAGTATTGTAATATGCACGTATATTGATTATTAGAGGAGAGGAGTAATAGTTGCTCATTTTAAACTCACGTAGGGTTTATATAATTAAAAAATAATCACTTTGGTTTATATATCTTAAATGAAAAGTGAAATTATCTCGAAATTCTGTAATCCTTCTTAAAATTAATAAATATATATTTTAAACTATGTAGGTAGAAGTAAAAGAGCCACCTATTATTTACTCTAAGTAAGTAGGTATTAGTCCCACACACTAACTAGAAAACCAACAACCTCCGGCGTCCTCGGTATCGTGATGAAACTGACTCTAGCCAACACTGCAAGTAATGCCACCGCCGGCGATATCAACGGCACCCCTACCTTTCAGCGTTATATTAGCTCAAGTAAAATGCATTACATTACATGACGTACATAGCCATACATAGTTGTACAGGTGCATGTTTAAAGTTGTTATCTATTGTAGTGGGTATAGGCATCATGTTTCAGGACATTATGTATTGCAGTAGATACAGACGTGATGTTCCCATGTTACAAATCATTTTTGCAAATGACATATTTGCTAATAAATTAACTTGGTCCTCTTATTGATTCCATATTGTTAAAGGTTTCGCACACAACTCGTTCCTTCCCGGAAATTTGAGGCTCATGCAATATTAGCACACAAGATACCGTTATTTTTGCAAAAATATCATAAATAAATCAGTATGTATGTGTACAAAATTCATCTTATTTCATGGTATTGTGTACAAAATTTATCTTATTTCATGGTCTGCAATTAACAGAGTTGAAAGGAAAAAGAAATCAAACTAAACTTCTCTCTCTTTTTTAAAAAAATATCAAGCAATATGTTTAATTGATATATAAATGTAATATAAAATTATGAATGAAAAATCTTTGTTATTTAATATATATACTGTTGAATGAAACGTAACCATATTTTATTTCTTCGTGTAATCCCCCAATAACAGGAGAAGGGATTGATAAAGACATGTTTTTAGACAATTCAAGATTATGAAAGAGACATGAAAATACATCAAGACATGAAAAGAAATATCATCAATGGTATTAATTGGTACTTCAACACATTTTCCATATCGTTACATCTTAGATTTCCTTGCAGTGCAAAAATTTAGGATATTTCGGGGAATTTCGTATTTGATGACAATGAGGCTAATGTTTAAATGTGAAATGGATAGTTATTATTTATAATATTATCAGAGAACTATTAAATTGCGTAGAATTGCTAAGAGAGATATTGAATGGTCTGCCAAAATACAGCTAGTAGAGAATTTGAATTTGATAATGAATATATCCGAAAACATATTTTAAGGCAAAAGTTTGCCACTTGGTGGCTTAATGTAAATATAAAATTATGTATGTTAAAATATTTGTAATTCGGCACATAGGACAGGTAAAGTTTTTTAAATAGAGTAAAGCATGCAAGGGCTACCTGCCTAGAAGGAGATACTTTCTAAGGAAAACTAACTTTTTGAGTGCATATCAAATATAAAGCGTATAATTTTCCTTCAATTTATATTTATGCAGATCTCTTATGAAAAAATTCTCATACATGCTAAATTATTGTAAATTGCTGTACTTGAAAAATACAGTGAATTCACAGAAAATAAAAGATTTGCACATGCCAAAAATGAAAAATATTAATAATATATGAGTATTTATATATATCCTTGTAAAAAGCGTTCTTTTGCCTTTAATTAAATGCGTAAATATTCATTAAAATATTCATAATATATTTGAAATGTAAGATTTGTGTTTGTTTCATGCAGAAACTCTTCTGATTATTAGTCGAATTATTAAATATATCTAAATTTATAAGATTATAAATATTATCTAAGTATATATGACCTTGACATTTAATTGCAAACATAAATTGATACTCTATTGATAAATATAGTTATAAAACTATTTTAGCAAGAATTGTTTTGGAAAATGATTTTCCGAATCAGTTTAGAAAACAATCTCTTAAAAGGTATCTTTTAAACCACAATTTATGAGATGCGTACTTAAAGAAGTAGTAAAGTATACATTTTTGAAAGCGTGTTGTTGAAATCAAGAGTAAAAAAATTTTAATAGGTATTAAAAGAATTTTTTTCCTCACAATTTACAATAATTCAGTTACAAATTTTAAATAATATTTTTAACCACCCACTATTTACCATTTTCAGAAAGTTTCGTAAAAAGTTAAGTACATAGAAATCAGAAATTACCAGCAATACATAACGTATTTAACTGTTAGAATAAAGGTGCTCTAATTTGATATGAGCCAAACTGAGCATTAGTTATAGAGTAACTATAAATTCTTATTTAAAAGGTACCCCAGAAGCTGAAAATCCTCTCATATTTGAGAAAATATTTCAGAAAGAAGCTCTGTAAATGGAAAAGAAATAATGCGCGAATTTAATATTAATAATACAAAAAATTTAATTTATACAAAATTAATATAATAATATTTATATTATACAAATTAATACAAAATTTTAATTTTTTGCAATCGTTAGTTGAATAAATTGGAATTACCTCAATAGCGAAAACATATGAAATCGTTTCACTCAAATAAAAACTGTTCTGAGCATGGAAAAAGTACAGAATTTGATTCCGTTCAGAATTAAATGTTCTTTAAAAATATATTCGATCACACACTTAGGAATATGAAATATTGTAGGAAAAGAAAATATATACATTTATGCTTAAGTTTACTACGTAATTACAAAATGCTTACCTCCGAACATGTCAAAACCTACTGATCTTAATGGTAAATCCCTGAATATTTTGAAAAACAAGACGGTTGTGTGACTGTTTCAAGGAAATGTATGGCGAAAATAAAACCATTTGCGGTCATACCTTAAGGAGATAGCCAGCCTGACCATCCACACATTTTTCAATGAACTGGTCTGGATGACGTGAAGGGAAAACGATTAAGTGTTAGTGGTATTTAATTGCTGCTGGAGAAGTATCATTCTTGCACTTTAGTTTTTGCGAGTGATGGAAAGCTGCTGATCTAAGCAAATCTGATAGAGGGGGCAGAATGTAATGGCACGAAGACCTCCGACGTGTATATAGTTCTACAATCTGCATCCGAGCTTTTACCGCCTGGTTTTTTGCTTCTTTTTGTTTAAATTCTTGCTCTCTTTGTTGCACAAAGAATAATTTATCTAAAGGCGTAATTAACTTTCCGTGCCTAAAAATAATTCTGCTGGGTTTTTCCCGTAGTATCGTGATTTGCCGTTCTTAAAGCATAAGCTAACTCATTTATGTAGCCATCCCAGCGCTTGTGATGTGTGCTAACTAACGTAACTGCGAATTATTTTTACAATATTTTTATTAACTCTTTCTGCTATGTTTGCCTGTGGTCTATACGGAACCATTTTGATATGGCGTATGCCAAGTCCAGTGCATATGTTTTCAAATATTTGGCTAATGAATTGTTTTACCGTTATCGCTAATGACTTTTATCGGTGCACCGTATTTTAAAATGTATCTGTGTAAGAATGCATCTGCGACTGTTTTGGCTGACGCGCGTTTAAGTGGAACAATTTCTGTCCATTTTGAAAAATGATCTACAATTACTAAAAGAAAACGATTTTTATTTAACTCACTCTGGGGGAAAGGACCAAGAAGATCTATGCCTAAAATTTCATTCGGAAATGTAGCGCGAATGCTATTTAAGTACCCGGCCGGGCTGTAATTAATATCATTTATTAACTGACATTGATTGCAGGACCTGACATACGCAGTTACTATTTTGTATAATTGCGGGAAATATACCGCCTCGCGTACCCTTTTTAAAGTCTTTCTGACCCCTAAATGACCCGCTGTTTTCGCGTCGTGTAATTCCTTCAAAATGCTTAATCGAAGCGAGGCTGGGATGACTGGTTTGTACTCGAGATTTTCGTTTGTTGTTTTCGTATAAAATAATAAATTATCTATTATTTCATAGTTTTTTCTGCTCTATTTCTTATCGCATCGATATCTGTGTGCTCAAAGCTTTCGGGGTCTTTCAAATATGCATAGATACTTCCAAATTCAGGATCAGCTTTCAATTCAGCATAATTGTATCTCTAGAATCTAAAATAAAATTTTGAAGTCAAGTCAACACAGCGCATTTAAGTTCATTTTCCTTCATCGTCCAGTTTTTATACGAGAAAGTGCGTCAGCTACATTGTTTTCCTTACCCGGTTTATATTTAATTATGAGATTATATTCTTGGAGTTTTAAAGCCCATCTTATTAACCTGGGCGTTAGGTTTTTTCCCCGAGTAAAGTCTACCAACAGCCGCATGATCCGAAAAGACTGTTACTGGCGCTTTGCCGAAATAAACTCGAAATTTGTGTACAGCCATTAATACGGCTAATGTTTCTCTCTCTGTAGCTGTATAATTCCTTTGTGTAGGGATTCAACGTTTTACTAAAAAATGCCAAAGGATGGCCATTTTGCATAAGAACCGCACCCACCAGCATAGTCCGACGCATCTGCTGCAATTTCCAGGTTTTCGTCCCCCTCCGGGAATTTCAAAACAGGGGCATTGATGAGCGCTTCTTTTAACCTTTCAAATGCTGTATTTGCTTCCGCTGTCCACACGTGAATTTACTTTTCTTTTTCTTTTAATTACTAACAAGTGGTTCAACAATATTAGCGAAATCTTTTATGAATGACCGATAATAAGAACATAACCCAAGGAAAGAAGAAAGTTTCTTGGCGGTGTTGGGAGGTGGGAAATTCTTGATGGCTTTTATTTTTTGAATCTTGAGTTTCTTTCTATACCCTTTTGCGAAATTTTATAACCCAGATATTTAAGTTCTTTAGTTGCGAACTTGCATTTTGAGGCGTTAATTGTAAGACCGGCCCTTTTTTAATAATTTAAAAACTTCTTCTAGATCTTTAATATGTTGTTCCAACGTACTACTCGTTATAATTATATCATCTAGATAGATTAGAAGTCGATTTTCCTAGGACAGGCTTTAGAACAATGTCCATAGCTCTCTGGAATGTTGAAGGGGCCCCACATAACCCAAAGGGCATGCTTAAAAATGCATAAGTGGCCGATTTTTTTTATAAACGCGGTTTTATGTATGTCTTCGGGTCTCATAGCTATTTGATAGTAGCCAGACGTTAAGTCCAAAGTAGTCATGTATCTAGTAGATTTAATCTTTCTAATAATTTCCTCTATAACCGGCAAAGGGTAAACTGGGAATTTAGTAATACTATTCAGTTTTCTGTAATCGATAGCAAACCTCCAAGCCCTTTTATCCGAAGGAGGAAACTCGTTCTTTTTTCCTACATAGTACGACTGGACTCGCGTACTCACTATTTATGGGCGTTATTATTTTATTCTTTAACATTTCCTGAATATGTTCTTCGATGATTTGTCTTTTTGTTTATCATAGCGGATAAGGTTTAGTCCTACAGGGTTTGTCGGCAGTTAACTGTATATATTATGCGTAACTATTTGACAACTACCAGGCCGTTCTGAAAACAAGTTTGAAAAAGTACTCACCACTTGCTGGATGGCTTGACTTTCATGGTCATTCAAATGGCTAAGGTCGACTTGCGGTTGTTCCACTGGTTCCACCACCCTCTGGATCCATCTCCAGCACAATAGAACTTTCCTGAAAATTCAGTTTGGCCCTCGCGGCCTTTTAAAAACTCCATACCTAAAATAAGTGGACTTTGCAAGATTTTTTACTACAAAAATTAATACTTTAAGGCTTTCGTTTTGAACCTGTATTTTTAAAGATAATTTTTCCGATACAGTGACAAGTTTGTCCTTGCGCCTGCTATGATTTCTGTGTTTTTATTTTTTTTAAATAATCGTAACCTATTAAAATTCTTCTTAAAAAAATATCACTCATAAAATTACCTTCTGCTCCTGTATCGATGAGGGCTTCTACTGGTACATCGCCAACCAGGACTTGTATAATTGGTAGATTGTGAGTTTTTTTACGATGACCGTATTTAAGTATCTTCTTGAGGGTTTTTTTCAAAACTTCCGGGGTCTGGACCCTCGCTTTCACAGGCCCCTCTACTCGTTTAAAGCTTTCCTTTCAACTTCTTCTGCCTTCTGGGTACGCGGACGGTTGTTTTCAAATTTTTTCCTTTTTGGGCCTTGACCTTCGAGTTTCGATGAGTTAGCTTGATAGCTCTTTCCCCCATAAGAGCGATTTGCGTTTTTCTGGTTTGCTCATTTGAAGATTGCCTTCGGATACTTTGAGAATACGATGCCCCTCTAGCTTTTTTCCGCTATTCTGCGATTTTGAACTTTCACCGCCAATTCGAAGAGTTCCTGCAATGTGCTTGGGTTTCTAATTTCGAAGTAGTCTTGAACAGCAGGTAAGCAATCTTGGTAAGATTATTTCAATAATCTCCGCGTCGGGTTTCTTCCCATACAGCATATCCGTCAGCTTAATTTTTCGCAGAATAAAGTCCGTCAACTCTTCTATATTCCGTTGATAAAAACTATATAGTTCGGCTTCTTCTAGCCTTGCTCGATCTTTCACTATGGGGAAGGCCTTTAATAACGATTTTTTGAAATTTTCAAATGTATATATGTCTGGCCTCCGAATTCCCCTAATAAAAATTTGCCTATATTCTTCCACCATAGCGCGGCCTGTCCTCTTAGTGCAGATGTGGCAATGGCAACTTTTTGTCTTTCAGGCACAGGGTAGAGCTGGAAATGATTTTCGAGGCCTTCTAGAAATATCGCCACCGAATTTTTTCCGTCGAAATTGACGTTTGGCTTGATTGACGCTCTCATCGTCTGGACCAGGTATCCAAATCCTTCCAATTGGCTTGCCATTTCTTGTTGTTGTCCAGAAGCTTCCATCCAGTTTTCGGCCATTTCAGTTCGACAAGTGTTCGGGCGCCAATGTAATGTTGCGCGGCCCCAACCTGCACGCAACAATAGTGGTGACTGCTATGAACTGGAAAGTACACAAAGTCTTGAGAAGGGTTTAAATCCCTTTTTATTCAACTTTAGAAATTACAGATGCGTGCTCTTGACGCTCACAAACTACGCCGACCCGGCGGTAAAATAAAAATAAGAAACTAAAAATGAATAATAACAAGTTACTCTAACCTACGAGGCTCTCTAAACGTAACTAACCTCACCGCGTTCTAAGATACCGCTGATAATTTCAGCAAACTTCTGAATATTACGTTGAAAGATTAACTATCTGCCGAGGCAAGCACACAGGCCGAAACGCGCGGTTCTTCAATTTTCTAACCTAGCCACCTCCACGTTCGTGAAGCAAGAAAAGCACACTTTCGAACTCGTTTCCCTTCTATTTAACTCAAATTACTTCCGCTGACAATTTGAATACTTTGCGCGTTCTACTAAAATTTACATACTCTGGCATTGGCAATTCCAGGGGAAAGTAAGGCTTGACAGGAAAGATAGTTTAAACTTAAAATAAATGTTAGTTAAAATAAATATAAACCCTACATCCTGACCTCATAACTCGCCCAATAGAGCACATTTGGGATGTCATGGAGCAACAGCTCCTAGCTGAAGCCCCAGAGCGTCCTCGAATTTGCATGACTACTGCTTAGACATTTGGTAGAACCTGTCTACAATCATCTATTAAGAGCTTGTGGCATTCAAGCCAAGGCGAGTTGCAGCTGTTTTGTAGACCAAAGGTCACACAACGCGTTATTGAGTAGGTTGTCATAATGTTTTGGCTCTTCGGTGTATATTGTAAAAGAAAGTTGCTTTTAGGTCTCGTTCAGTATCAATATTTCAGAAATAAAATCTATTATGCAGTTATAGGAAAAGCTCTCATTTGTTCTTTACTGTAAATCAATAGTTTGTAACGTTCCATTATGTTAACCAGTCATT